TCTTACACTCTGCTCCCACAGAACCCTGACCTCATAGCATTCCACAGCCCAGGTTAGCAGGTCCATCTTGTCCCAGTTCCAGTTCAAAATGACTAGAAACAAAAAAGCAAAGTTGAAGTCTTTTCTTCCATGTATTTTGATTACACTTTTCATGTCCAGTACTCTTCTGCTAGCCAGTTGTAACTGGAGATAAAGCCGATGAAAAGTATGTGACTATTCAAAACGTTACTTCACGCAAGGCATTTCTGTACTTGTTTTTCAACTACAGTGATCCGTGTGCTGTGTCACTGTCATGTTTACACACAATCCACACATACATAGGAGTGTGTGTGTGTGTGTGTGCACACTGAAACCTTTGAGAGCTGTGACTTGATGGAGCTGCCTTGTTCCTCTGAGTCTTGCAAATGCTCTGCCTTTGATGGTGCAGCCCTACCACTTTCTAGCACTCATTTTACTGGGAGCTGTTTGCATTTACCTTCTTTGGCAGGTTTCTGCCTTCACAGATTCCACTATATGTACGCACACTCATATTTTGCGGTGTGGGGTTTACATATATGAAGGACTCTCGCTCTTTTAATTCCATCTTTCCACAAAGTATTTTGAAGCCCCTCATAAGGACATCTGAGTCAATGTGCCACAGTCGGACAAAGTAGAACCAGCCCTTTGGGTTTCTGAGGCTGTCAGTCTTGATAGCAGCAGACCCCCTCATTTTTCCCTGGGGATGAGCCAGTGGGTTCAGACTGCTGGCCTTGGAGTTTGCAGCACAATGGGTGTAACCCAAGTACATCACCAAACCAGCAGCCCCGCCATCTACTCCCTTCTAGCTCGTCACAGCCTGCAGGACAGCAGAATTGCTCCCTAGGATGTTCAAGGTTATAAACTCTACGGCAGCGGTTCTCAACCTTCCTCATGCCGCCACCCTTTAAGACGTGGTGGTGCCCCCAACTATAAAGTTATTTTCGTTGCTACTTCATAACTCATTTTGCTACTGTTGTTAATCAGGTGACCCCTGTGAAAGGGTCGACCCCCCCAAAGGGGTCACGACCCACAGGTTGAGAACCACTGTTGTACAGGAACAGACAGCCTCATTTTTCTCTTATAAAGCAGCTCGTGGCCTTCAAACTGCTGAGCTTGTGTTGAACAGCCCAGCATGTAACCTTCTGTTCTACCAAGGCCTCACGATGACCTGTGCTTTACAGTGTCTCAGCATGGTATCCTGACTCCCAGGTCTTGTACCCCTGAATATATGGGGGAGCTTCACAAAGTGTATGGAATTCTTACACACATTCTTACACACACCTCCTCTCCCCTAACCCCCACCCAGTCCATGTTTGTTTTTAGGCTGTATTTTTGGAAGGCAGAGTTCTTGTCTCTTGAAAACTGAATAGGATGTTGTACAAACACAAATGGGTAGGATAAGATTGTGATTTATGTTTGTGTTTTAAAGAACGTACCCAGGATGAAATAGAAAGGACA